ATTTATAAAACGAGCGACGAAGGAGCGAGTTTTATAATGGACAAGTGCGACAAAAGGTCTTATGACATGAGTTCTTTATGCTATTTTATCTATTTTGCAAACATTTCATAAAACAAATTAATTTTATACCTTATATTTAATTTGGTTAAATTTTACTTTACATAGTTGGTATCGTAGATAACAAAGTTTGAAGTTTGAAAGGTCATTAACCTTTCAAACATTATCACATTCTTTCGCTATGGCGTCGTTAATTTACAATAAGTATTTACAATAAGCGGCTGTTAAAGAAGAAAAAAGGATTTTCTTTGGTGTTAAACAAAATTTATTACACGAAAAGTCTCGTAAGTACTAGAAAACAAATCATAAAAATATTATAACCTATAGGTATTCAAAATTGTATTTTACCAGTAGCCAACCTATAAAATCAAAATTTTGGGTGGAATAAAGTACCTCATTAAAGAACCAAAAGCGGTGTTATAATGAAGTCATTATGAAACCAAAATAGATAAAGGTACCTTAGGTGATACTTTTTATAGCCATTACAATTTTAAATTTAAGTTAAATAATATTATTTTATTAATCGCTTACAAAATTAGTTTCATTATCAGTGCATGTACATTTTTCTGAGTGTAATAGTTTAATCTATATTCATCATGACAACAAACAACAATATTGAAAAGTGTCAAAATGAATTGACCAAATTCGTGACTTAAAGTTAGAGGATATTAATTTTACTAATAATGAAACCATAGATTAAATCTATGAAGAAAAACTAAACAAATATTAACATTACACTGACACTGACACAAACACTGAAGGGCTTCTCCATTTTGTAAGCATTCACCAAACACAAGATACAATATTACAATAGTGTTGTGACAATATTCACTAAAAGAATACCAGAGATAAAGAAGAATACATGACAAAATGAAACAGAAATGCCATGACAGAATCTTACAACGCATGCGTATTTTAAATTTTAAAATGATTTTTTTTTTAAGATGAAACTGTACATTAAACATTATAGTTAATATAGGTAAAACTATTATTTTAAAGTTTAAAATCCTACTGTTTTCGCTATAATTTTTTTACAATTTTCTAGGACACCCTATATACAGACACAATAACGGTGTAAATTATAAATCGTATTTCCGATTTTATCATTGAGAAAACTGTTTTTTATCTACACACTTATTAAGTAAACATATGATAAATAGGATTTATGGTGGTGATTATTAGGTTAACGCAGTCTTTTATTAAAGGCGATATGCAAATACTTGTATGCAATACAAATGCAATACTTATTTGCTTAAGTTCACTTTCGTAATATTTACCTACTTTTGTTTTATTTTTAAATAAATGTTCTCATGTCTACTTATCGGAATAAAAACGAGTTAAAATTAAATAAAAATTAAACATCAGAAAATGTTTTTGATTATGGGTTACATACATATTGACTTAAAATTTTATTATAATAAAATTTATACATGTATCTATAGATTTATTTATAAATAAATAAATATTTTTTAATTGTATGACCTCTTGCATGGAAAACCCAAGGTTAAAGCGTTCATTTAATCGGTTTAAAGAAAAAATTCTTTAATTTAATAAATGCAAAAAAATAATACACTAGGCATACATTTAAAATAGTTCGGCTGTTTTAAAATTAAGTCCTTATCTCCAACTAAGGCCCCTTAAGGCCAATCCAAAATTTACTTACTTTACTTGTTAATAAAAACATTATGTAATTAAACTAAATTAAAAGTATACTTCTTGTAGGTACGTTTTTAATAAAAGTTTAATAGAAATTAGAATAACCTTCACAATATCATGTTATTAGAATTATTACTAATAATATATTATTGCACGCATAGAAAGATCAAGTTCAATATTAAAGATAAATTAACTTCTGCAGCAGAACAATAATTATTAACCACAAAAATTGTACTGACCCACTTTTTAGTAACAGAAATAAATTAAAAAAATACCAACATCAAATTTAAAATGACCAAGGTTAAAAAAATCCGAAATAGTAAGGTGATCTGGAAGATACGTGATTCAAGTTCAAAAAATCAATAAAACTACTTTATACGGGTTTAGTGCGCATGCGTAACTACAAATTTTATTTTTATATTTTTATATATAATTTTATTTTATATATTAGGTATTATTATTATTTATTATTGATAATTTACTTGTCAATTATAAATAAAAAGATAATTATGCCAAAAATAATAGCAACGAATTCGAATGTAAAAGCCCTTTTGAGGGCAAAACTTTATTTTGATGAAATTATGCCAAATGTCACAATGCATTGCAATGGAAGAAAAAGTACATCGCCTTATGGACATTTTTGGAGTAAAAAAGTAACGAATTTGGTTTTATAAATATTACATTACACATTATTTTCACATTATTCACCATTGGACAACATTTACGTTCACAACAAATTTTAATTTCTTTTATATAAATTCTTTTCAAAGGGAAGATTATTATCCGCTAGGAATACTTTCTCTTCTGGGCCGTAAAGCAACCTATATTTAACTACTTTTTTATATGATTTTACTTATCCAAGCACCACCAAAGCTAAATTAATTGCATTTTTAACTACGAATTTCGACAACTCAACTTGACAACTGCACAATGTAACCTACAATAATTTATACATAACCACAATTAGATTTATAACTAGCTTGGTTTGTTTTAATCAATGCGACCAACTTGACAACAGTTTTTACTAACCAAAACCCTAAATTTGCAACGTTGCCGCAGTCAAGATAAAAAAAGAACTTTACAGCTGAAATTTTTCATTGTATAATATTTTATAAAATCGTATAAAATTTCACAGAAATAAAAAGATTATGTAAAAAAAGTAATCGTTTTAAAACTAGTACCTACCAGAAATCTCTGGTCAATAATTAATACATAATACATTAAAATCAAATATTTTCAAAAATTAACAATTTATTTTCATAAAAATAATGATAATTTTGCAATCAAAGTAAAAAAATCGGAAAAATTACTATAAGTTTAATTTTAACCTTGAATAACTTTTAAACCAGTGAATTTTTTGAAAAATCATAAGAGAGCTTTTTTGTACAGCGTAGCTGTATATTAACTTGCTCGGGAGAAACCAAAATAAATGTAAAACTTTATATACATATCATGTTTTGGTGTCTCATTTCTCTGTACTAGTGTCGCTCGTTAAAATATTGTAAACATATTGTAAAAGACAAGGACTTTATAATTATTAAGTTTGCGCAACATACGTATAATATGCGTCTATGTCATTGCCAGCAAGTTTGACTGTCTGCATTCGACCTAATTTAAAAAATTATGCGTAACCTTGTGGGGGGTCGATTACCCTCCTGTACTTTACTGATTTCTTCAAGGCTGCTAGCAGCAACATTTAATTCATTTGAATTACTTTAACTTAAGTGTTTTAAATGCCATAAATGTTATATTTAAAAAAAAATATTTTTCTGTCCATTTTTCAAAAATTTCTTGCTGACAGGATAAGGGTCGTTATATAGAAAGTTCAACTTTTATATATTTGGGTCATTTTCAAGAAACACCCGCTTTCAGGAAAATGAAGATCAAAATATTTTTTTTGCTTAAATTGACTTTTGCTTGGATTTTTATAAATGTTTAGAGTTTTGTTTACTTACATTTAAGACAGGCAGAGCACTTTTTAATTTTTTTTACGTTTTTTTCAGAAAAATGTGTTAAGCTAGCTTTATATATCTCCACTGTGTTACCAATTTGAAATCCAAAATATAATTCAATAAAAAAAGTTGTTATACAAATAATTTGAAATAAAATGTACTTAGTTCACAAACTTTTGACTCCAATTTTTTATTTTATTTTTTATTAAAAATTGTATGTTTTTTTTAAATATGTATGTTCGTTAAGTTACTTTTTAAAAGAAACCATTCCGATTCTTTGTTAAAAAAACAATACCATTAATATTTTCTTTTAGTCACTGTATTAGTGAATTAAACTCTAATTTATAAACACGTATTACCAAGTGATAGTGTATAAAAATCATTTTAAGTATTTTTTTAACAAAAACTAAAAAAAGTAACGAAATAGACATTGGTATCACAACGGACAGGGGTACACAAAGGACTTAATCAGATAACATAAAAAAGAAACTTTATAGGGTGGTACGATTTTAGAGTAATGCATAAACAAAATGCCTTTTAGTGGTGCTCACTTGCAGAATAACAACTTAGATTTCTAAATTGTAGACAGCCTTTTTCTTTGACTATAAGCTGGTGAAGGTCCCTTTTAGTACTTTTATATTGCGTGGAATTTTTCCTTGGATGTAATCTATATCATGAGTTGTAATTACAAATAATTTTAAATTGGTTAATCTTAAACTACTTTTAAGTGGACAAAGTTTTGTAAAACCATATTAAAAAAATAATAATAAGACATTATAGTCATTAAATGAGCTTTAGTGCCCTAAAATAAACATAAACATGAAAAATAGTATTTTTTTTTACCTTATTTTTATTATTTTTTTGAGTAACTTAACGGACAAACAATTATTACATTCGCGTTACCCGCACCTGTTTCAACCGATATCTTCTTCCTGATTGAATAAATAAATTCAGCTGGGTAATGTGTACGTCCGAACATCATTTGTTGATCACGTGAGTACCAAAAAAGTTGCCATATATATGTTTTTTTTTAATATTCTATCGTTAACGCGACGGACGTAACGCAACGGAAAAAATGTCTGGGACATGAGTCAAATTTAAAAAAAGTAGATTAAAATTAATTATTTTATGTATAAATTGTTTACTGTATTAACTAAGGATGTTATGGATTGCTATAAAGCAACACAAAGTTCTGGTTATTCAATATTTAAAAAAAAAACATGTATGTAAGCTAATGGGACATGCGAAAATGTGTGTTTCACAAGTTTCGTTAAAAAGTTGCCGGAAAAGGCCCTATGTTTTTTCCTCTAAAAACATGTTTTTCGTTTGTTTCAGGAATGCTATCGGCCCTTTACAACCCCCAGAGCAACAACGCGAACAAAAAGAACCTCTCCACGACCGTGGTTCTCCTGAAAACCGTGGGCGGCGCCGCCGGCGAACCGCCCACCGCCACCGGAAGCGGAAATAAACCGCCGCCCGCCAAGGACGTCGGCGCAGGTGGCGGCGCCGCCACCACCGGAAGCGGCGGCGGCGGCAAGAACAAAAACACGCTGTCGTGCCCGAAGTGCGGCGATCCGTGCACGCACGTCGAGACTTTCGTCAGCTCGACGAGGTTCGTCAAGTGCGAGAAGTGCCATCACTTTTTCGTGGTGCTCAGCGAGGTGGACAGCAAGAAGAAGGAGGACGCCAAGACGGGGCAGTTCAGGAAGCCGCCGCCGCCTCCGAAGAAGATCTACGACTTTTTGAATAAACACGTCGTCGGGCAAGAGTTTGCCAAAAAGGTATGTGATATCCAGAAAAAGAGTTATACAGGGTGTTATGTAATTAATGTTATATATTAAAATACTGAATACCTTTTGACATAAGGAATAAAGGAAAAATATTTAAAAAAACATTTTTCCAAAGATAAAGAAAAAATATGCATTAGAAGTTTCTCATATTTTTTGTGATACGCCACTGGTTACACACTTGTTTATCTCTGCACACCTGTATTTTGTGAGTACATAGATACCAACCAACAAAGTAGCTATGCGTTGCCAGATGTAAAAAATTGTAACTAAAAATTTTTCTTGCAAAAAATAAATAAAAACTCAATAAATACAAAAGTTTTATGCCCTTAAAGCTCTAACACCCTTCTGTATTTATTTACTCATCCAGCTATTAGCTTAAGCAATGATTAGAAAATTTAGTACCTTTGAAATTTGAAATCCATAACCACAAAATTAATTTTTTCATCAGTTTTTTTCTCTGTTTACTCAGATGAAATTGGGACCAGTTCACAGGTTAAACTTTAAACATTTAATTTGTGTAAATAAATTCAAAAGCACTTCCCTTAGTTAAGATATTTACAATTTGAAAACATAACCTAAAATTTAAAAGAAATGCACTAGATTCTTTCATAAAAGTTGGCAGATTTTGTTTGAATTTACCTTCAGTACAAAAATGAAATAACCAACAATTAATAAAAACGCCAAATTGACAATTTGCATTGTTAATTTTGTCATTTTTGTAATTAAGCTAAATTTAAACAATGTTTGTCAACTTTTTTGAGAGATTTTGGAAAAACTGTTGTTACCAACCATAACATAATAAATCCACCAGATTAACCTAAAGTTCCTAGTCGATCAGTGGCGTACTTTTTGGTAGGTTAAAGGTTATTATAAATTATTTTTAGACTTTGGAATTTAGAAAAAAAAAGTTTCAGGTGCTTCTTTATGGACCCTAAGGAACAACCCATTTTAATATATAACATTAATTACATAACACCCTGTATTTTTTTAAATTGGGCTTCCAAAAAATCATGTACAGCATCGTACACGTGGTAGAAGTGAAACTTCTTATAAACTAGGGAATTTGAGAAATTTTAGTTGTGTGTGTGTGTGTGTGTGAGAGAGAAAGAGACAGGGATAATTTCAAAAGAAATATAACAGTATAAAATTTGTGTAAAAAATATTTTTTGATTAGTTTCATCTGAAATAAATTTATATCCTCGGCATAAAAACAGAAGCGAATTTGCATTCGGCACGCACCTAAAGAGCGACATGCTTTGAGCGCGCCACGCCTTTGTCTTTTGTCGGCTTTACACCGCGTTATTACAAATAAGCCGCATTATTATAAAATAATAAAAACAGTAGAATATTCGCTACTCTACAGTATAATTGTTTATTGTTTAAGTATTTGATTTATTTTTTGGTAGAAATAAACCATTAGGTAACAATTTTTATTTGTTTAAGTAATTTTGCGCTAGAATATCGTTTGATAAACAAAATGTCTATTTAGAATTTTTATTTAATATGGTCAATTTTGTTCTATCAAAAACAAATTTTAGAGTATTAAAATCTTAAGAATGTCCATTTTACTTTAATGTTAGGACTTATTAAACAATTTTAAAATAGTATGTTAAAAAATTTTTATAACTAAAAAAGTTGTCAAGGACCTGGTACCTCTCGCATGCTAAGCGAGCGCGAAATTGTGCTCAAAACCCGCCTAAGCTTAACTATACGCTAAAGAAGTATCGCTAGTAGCGCCACCACTCGGTTGTTATCATCGTAACAAAAGTAAAACTTTTAATAATCAGCTATCAGACGCTTATGTTACAAACGAGTGTTTTTGAGAATAAAGCCGGAAAATGTTATAAAATATCGAAAAAAAACATGGCTCGATTTGTTGTGTTGTTGGGTGTATTTCGATAGGAAATCCTGGGTTGAGTTTTTACCGGTTTTCCAATAAACAGTTTTAATCTGAATGAAGAAATAAATTGCATACAGTCTGTAAATATAAATTGTACCTATAAGATACAATAAATACATATTTTAGTAGTGATTAACGTGAAAAGTGTAAACATTTCAATTCAGTAAAAATCGACAAACAAATAAGTCGTCTAAATTTAAACAGCATTTAGCATTATTAAAAGCGTTGATTAAGAAAGTCTCCACTCAACGGTAAAATACCATTATATTATGTATTATATATAATATTATGTTGCCATGAATTCGTAGACCTACCTGTATATTTTGTTGTTTAAAATGCAGTTGTCGGCGTTTTTTAAAGAACTCAAACATAAAAATGGTTGATTTTTTGGTTTATTATTTTTACTAATTTCTTAAAAATTTCCAAACTTAAATATCAATTATATTAGGTAAAGTTATCATTTGTTAATTCTGCACCAACAAATGTACTTACCGAATTGGATCCTTTGGCAAAACATGAAAATGCAACGATTTAGTTCTTGAATTTTATTTACAATTAAAAACACAATTATTCACCATGATCCCTTTGATAAAATACACACACTAACGTACGAACGTCGTAACTATATAAGCATTTAGGCGTTGAGTTTCTTAATCAATGATATAAGGAATAATCAATCGAAATCGGGTACTAAAAAAGTTCTTTAATTTTTTCCTTGCAACGTAAAACACAAATTTAGTTGTGCAATTGAACAAAATTTGTCGATTAAGACTTCTGCCTTCCTTTCTTTTGTAAAAAAACTACCTATTTATTTAAAAATTATGTATAATCTGTGCTTTAAATGTATTGACTATTCTTAAATTCACGCAATGCATTCGAAGTCCACCAGATGGCGCGCGCGTATAGGATATATGTTGGTCATCTGGTAGAAATCTTTTTGAGATGTTTCAGTGATGTCTAATGGATATCTAAAAAAAATATATCTTATATATTTCTTTCAGAGATTATGTTGGTTTTAATTTAAATAATTTATCAAAAATGTAGTAAATTTCGTCGACAACCAACCTCTAAAAACTTATATTTTAAAAATTTCTTGTCATGATTTGTTAGTATTTAATAAACTTATTATTATATTTTCTTTATTATTTTAGGTATTGTCTGTAGCCGTCTATAACCATTATAAAAGAATTTACAACAACAATCCTGGACAAAGTACGACAAATTTAAGACAGGATATGGCAGTCATGGAACAAGGACCCCATCAAAATTTAACACACAGAGGTTGGTTCCAAATTTATATACTTTCTTATTTTATTGAATTCCACTATGATTTTTAATTAAAATAAAATATACTTAATTAATACAGGGATTTAAAGGTTTACTACACTCACAGGCAAAATAATCGATCCACACAAATTTTCGATGAATTTCAATCGCAAATAACTTTTTTATTTGATGTCTGATTTAAACGAATATTAAAGAATATTGTAGATAAATTAATGGACAATCGCTCACATTTTAAAAAATTACTAAAAAATTGACGTAGTTTTATAATATACAGGTTTAAACAAAAAGATATTTTTTACCATAAGTTTAAGTCTGTAGAGTGGCAAAATCGTATATTGTTCTAAATTAAGTTTTATTTATCAAGTCACATCTATTCTTAACAGTTTTGTTTTTGGTTCACCTCGATATATTTATTTTTGTGGAAAATATGGATTTTTTAAATATTTTTCTGTTTGAAGAACTAAGGTTGCTATGGTCCATCCATACGCTATGGAGAATGACAGTGGCAGTTTTGTTGAATCTTCCTATACTTGGACATGTCATACACGGCTTTCAAAAGCTATCAAATTGTTTTTTGCAAATTAATGTTTAAATTTTGAGGTGTCTTCTTACTTTATAAAATGGATATGTCTCCGACTGATGTTGCCAGAGCTATTAATTCAATCCAGGATGGACGGTCACAGTCTTAGAGTAACAAAACACAATAGAGGAAGTTATTTACATTTTAACGCAATCGAACATAAAGGAACATCCTAAACACCATTTTTTGATGTTGCCAGGTGTGCTTATTAGAAAACCTCTTTTATTTTTCTTAGGTTAACAGTAATTATTATTGCTTATCATTTTATTTATTTTTACAAAAACTACATCAGGCAAAAAATATATTACCTTTAATTAATTTGAAATTTTATTTGATTGCATTTTTTAATTGTTTTCTAATGACGTTTTAAGTTTCCAGTTTGTAAATTTTATTATTTAAAACTGAGCTGACAACGCTGCAGTAATTGCTTTTATAACAGTAAGACAAGAAACGCTTTTCGTCCTTGTTTATTTAAACATCGTAGAAAGAGACAAAAGTAACCTAAGAAAGTGTGCCGGTTTCTTCTTATAATACGTCACTATTACAGTGTTGCGCGTTATTAGATTGTTTGTTTGTGTGAATTTTTCCGTGTTTTTCAGTTTTTAAATACAATTTTAAGGTGATTTTAGACAATAACCATTTTAATATGGTGAGACAGTGCCAAGTGTGTGGTAAAGTTGATGCCACAAATCCTGAACTTTCTTTTCACCGGTAAGTAAGGTTATGTTCTTATGCTTAGGTTTCAGTGGTGTAGATAAGTTTTATTATTATTATTTAGAAAATATTCTGTGTGAGGATATTACTTGCTTAGGCATATAAACATACTGCTATAACTCTAATAAAAATAATCATTCTTTTTTTAGGTTTCCTTTAAACCCAGAGAGGCGAAATTTGTGGTTTAGCCTTTTGGAATTTACACAAAATAAAAGGATACCAAAAACAGCTGATGTTTGTTCTCAACATTTTGATCCCAATGATATTTATATCAGATCAAATGGATTTAAATATTTAAAGGCGGATGCAAATCCATTGCCAGCTTCTCCACTATTTGAACCTAACTCATCAAGGTATGGCAAAAAATAATAAATAAATATTTAGTTCTCCTAGTGCATGCAAATAATATTAGTTAATTGTTATATAGTTTTTAATTAACCAATATACAGTATATTTTACTTTACATGGAAGCACCCCTGTATTTTCTTTGTTTTTGTAAGAATTGATTTGATTTTTTTATCAGTTTTACAACTCACCAAGAGGCATCTATTCATGTCCTTGAGAGAAAAAAATGTCATTAGCCTGGCCTAGTGGGATCAAGACCATGGGTCATATTGTCAATATTTTGCTTTGCGTTAGAGTTAGGTACAACAAAAAGTTATTAAGAAAAGTTTTTTAGATTGAATAGATTACCCTAAATATCGACTTTCAATTAAAAATTCCATTTTTTAATTTTTATCCCGTTAGTTACGTTTATCCATGCCACCCTTTGATTCTAAATTTAAAGTTAAAAATATAAATCAAATCATATAAAAACAAAGAAAATATAGAGGTGCTTAAAACACACTAAATTAAAAAATCAAAATTTACCCTATTACTTTCTTAATTAATTTCATTTTAATATTTTTTTAAATCTGTAACAGCCACATCACACATAAATTTATACATCAGCAATTGTACACTAAAATTATTAATTTAGTAAACAAAGAAAATGTGACGAAAGTCATTCTTTAAAATAAATTATGTAGTGTTTTTTTATTTTTAGACAAAAAAATACTTTAGTAGAAAAATCACACATTTTATAAAAAAAATCTGTTATCTGTAATGCTGTTATCTTTTTACAGCTCAGAATCCCTGGAATCCATTTTAAATGAGAACCCCAAATCTTTAGAAGTTCAAAGCACATCGTAAGTATTTTACAAGATAAAAATTTAAATTTAATCGTTGATCAATAAAGGCCTTAAAAAAATTAAATCTTTAATTTTAGATCTGCAGAACCGTATTCAGATGCAGATGGTTCTCCTAATAAACTGCTAGAAAAGATTACTTTAGGAGTAGAAGTTTCCAAGACTAGCGGAAAAGTTTATCAAGGGTGTGTAATTTCTGACTTATTTATTATTTTTAACTTTTTAATAGATCTCTAATTTAGAAGAATACAGTGTAACTTGTTTTAACTGAACAACAATATAACTAACTTTTTATTTTATCAATAACTGTAATATAAAGCATTTTGGCATGTTTGTAGGGCCCCATATGATGAAACTAATGAACAGGAAACAAGGATTGCAACACATTCAGATGATTTTGATTTAAATATTGTACCTTATTGCAAGCCAGGTACTTCACAACCTAAAGATGGACAAAAAGTTGAGTTTAAAAAGTACCAGTCATATACTACTTCAACAGCATCAGAAACAGAAGAACAGATTTTAAGTATGCTTAAAAGCAATCCCTCAGAGGTTCCAGAGTCACTTGTGGGGCCAGATTCTGTATTTAGAGGAAAACTTGCTTTGGTTAATGTTCCCAAAAAAAGGTATCTACCATATTCCTTTTTTAATATTAATAACAACTTTAATTTGCGATTTACACATTTTCACAAATAAATATATTAATTTAATAAATTTAACACTAATTTGTAAAACAATTTTAAGGAAGAGGGATGCCTATGTTGGAGATTTGAGTAGTGACGATTTTGATTCTCCTAAAAAGCGTAGAAGAAAGATTGCCTTTATTAAAAAGGTAGTTGAAGAAAAAAGAAAAAAAGTGCATGGTTTGCAAACAACAGTAAGACGCCTTAGAAAAAGGATTACTTCATTAAAGAGCCTTCTAGATTTATTTAAAAAGAAACTCTTTATATCTGAAAATTCTGAGAGCATGATTAAGGTATGGATTTAGTAGTGTTTGTAGCAACTAAAAATTTAGATTTTGTCAGCTTGTAAGTGCAGGGTCTGGAATGAAATCTGACAGTTTTCTAAATGGTATAACTTAGTTTTTAAATAAATTGATGAGTTTGAAAAAAACATATTTTTTTAATGTTAAGTGAAAATTTGTTTAGATTTCAGACAAAACTCATTTTCACCTCAGCAAATGTGTAATAAAGCAAAATTGTCGTAATAGGGCCCCAAATCGGGTAATTTGGGGCCTAATAATCACCAAATGCCTTTTCACTATTGAAGAGTAACTGTCTAGGCTGTAGTGTGTAGATTTTTTCATAATGTTTTTTCCACTTTTAAATTTTTAATTGTGAATTTTCATAATTTTTAACAATAATAAATTGACTAATTTTTGCTTTACACTCTTTTTCAATTTGTTTCATAAGATATGAAAAATGTCCGCTCTTCCTCTTTACAATAAAAAAATATGATTTCTTTTTAACTCAACAAGTTATTTCATTTACAAAACCATCAAGTTTTACTGCCGGACCCTGTACAAGCATTAGGTACTTGAAAAATTAAATACTTTTTTTGTAGGCATCTTTACCAGACCAACTTGGTGAAATTTTTGAAAGATTTTTGAAGGGACCAAGCAAACAAAAGTATACACCGGCTTTAAGATGCTTTGCGCTTACCTTGTCATTCTACTCAACTAGAGCCTACAACTTCCTTAGAACTACATTTAATCGAAGCTTGCCTCACTTGGCTACAATTTCCAAATGGTATCGGTCAGTGGATGGATCACCTGGATTTACCAAAGAAGCTTTAGCCGCCTTGAAGTCAAAGCAAAATGATTCACCTGTACCTCTCTTGTGCAATCTAGTCATGGACGAAATGTCAATTAGAAAGCAAGTGGAGTGGACAGGAAACAAGTTTGTAGGGTATGTTGATGTGGGCACCCGTCTTGAATCAGACAGTTTACCCAAAGCACGAGAAGCCTTAGTATTTATGCTCGTTTGCTTAAACGGTTCCTGGAAACTACCTATAGGATATTTTTTATTAGATGGACTAGGGGCATCTGAAAAGGCAGAATTGGTCAAAAAATGTTTACAGTTCATTGCAGAAAGTGGTGTTATAGTAACATCACTTACCTTTGATGGAGCCCCTACAAATTTAAGTATGGCAGAAAAGTTGGGAGCGAATTTCAGTGATCCGAAAAATTTAAAGACCGATTTTCCACACCCCACATTAAATTATGCTATTTTTATATATTTAGATGCCTGCCACATGGTAAAGTTGGTGCGTAATTGTTTTGGGTCTCAGGAAGGTTTAAAAGATAATAATAATGAAGATGTGAAGTGGTCATTTGTAGAAAAATTGGTAGAAAAGCAACACCTTGAAGGGCTGCATGCTGGCAATAAACTTAGAATGCGTCACATAAAGTACCAAAGGGAAAAAATGAAAGTCCGTTTAGCTACTCAGACTTTAAGCAAAAGTGCTAGTGATGCTATAAACTTTTTAAGGGAAAATATACAAGATCCAGATTTTGCAAATTCCGAAGCTACATCGGCGTTTCTTTTAAAATTTAACGATTTATTTGACATTTTGAATTCCAGGAATAGATTAAGTAAATATTTTTATAAAAAGCCGTTTTCACCTGCCACATATGATACTTTTATAAGTCATTTAAATAATATGAAAGAATATATCTTAAGTCTTACATTAAGAAGTGTACCTATTGTGAAATCAATAAGAAAAACTGGGTTTCTGGGGCTGTTAATATGTATTGAAAGTATTATTAAAATGTATAATATTTACGTTGTTGAAAAAAAATATTTAAAGTATATATTAACATACAAGTTGTCTCAAGATCACTTGGAGTTATTTTTTGGAGCCATACGTAGCAGGGGAGGGTATAATAATAATCCCAACGCAAAGCAATTTGAGGCAGCCTATAAACGTTTACTAGTTCGAAGCCAAATTTCAGCTCCAAATACTGGAAATACTTTAAATTTAGAAAGTATTACAATACTTACTTGTGGTTCTGGTAGGCTACAAAAGGATGAGGTTAAGGAAAATGGTGGATATGAAAAACTGTTAGAGTCCTTACAAAATGAAATTGAAAAGGAAGGCTACCTTATTTCAGAAGGTTGGGACTTAACACTTTATTCAAAAGATATAGTAGCGTACATATCCGGATTTGTTGTAAGAGGCATTAAAAAATGTGTTGACTGTCCTACCTGTCTTGCTCTATTAGTAACTGAGGAAAGTATTTCTGAATTACAAAAAAAAAAAACTTATGGAAGGCTTGTTAAAGCAAGCAAACTTGTTATTGAAACCTGTAGGGCAGGAGAAAAGTTTTTTAGATTTTTCCATAAAACAACAAATATTTTTAACCAAAAAATTGAAAATCTTTTACAAATATTGATAACAAAATCATTACAATTTATTCCATCTTCGGTCTACGACGATTTTGGGGATCATTTTTATGACTCTCATATTTTACTAGATGACCATGTATCAAACTTATTAAAGTCAATTTTAAAAATTTATTTTAACTTAAGAATTCACCATCTAGGAAAACAAGAGGAGGAGGTTTTAAAAATAAATAGGTTAAGAAGCATAAATACCAAAACAGTCCTATTTAGAAATGAATAAAGAAATATATTAAATAAAATTGAACTACTGTACCTATAATATTATTAAGATGTAAGAGGTGGTGTTAATTTAAATTTTAAATTACTGTAAATTTAGATTTAGAATCTACTGTAAAACTTTGCATAGACTTGTAACAACAAACAGATAGGTAGAGCAAATCCTACAATGCTTGGATTTGTTACAAGTCTACAAATATGTTTAGCTTTAGCCATATGTATTCTGCATAATTTATTATATTTATATTAAACTCTTCTACCAGCTTTTTATTAACCCATCACTTCAAAAAATCATTTAAAAATATTGTTTTTTATTATATAATTTTATATTTTTGTTGGTTGATTAAAATTTAATTTTTTGTTCTGTAACACTGGGTTTATTTTTTAATTGTATTTTTAAGTGTGCCTTATAATTTACTAAAAATCTATTGTTTACATTTTTTTAAAGCAACTACTTGCTTTTTAATAAGGAACTTAAAAATTTAAAGCAACTACTTGCTTTTTAATAAGGAACTTAAAAATATTTCCATAATGTATAAAATTTACCTTGGGATTTTAAGCTTAATTTTAAGCTTTTAGCATACTCTATTGTTTCTTGTCATATTAAGCCTAGCCTGTATAAATTAAATCTCATTTACATTTATAAATAATTTCTCATTTATAGGTATAAATAATTTTACAGAAAACCAAGAATCTATTTTTATTAAATAAAAAAATATATTTACCGACATATGGAACATATTAAAATGAAGTTAAAATTTTTTAAATGTTATTTGCGCAATCAAAAAATACTTATTTCAATCAGTGCAATATTTTTTACCCTTAAAAACCGCACGTCACTGGAGAAATCTAAACGCAAGCCACGTGACTTTATAACAGTGTTGCCATCAAAGTGTTATTTGGTTGCCATCGCGATGCATCGCTTAGAATGTGCTTAGTTCTCTGATCATAAACAAGGACGGTTTTGAACTGTTATGCTGCCTCTATTGTGTTTTGTTACTCTAAGGTCACAGTATTATGTGGCAAGTATTTTAAACGTCATAAGAAGTAAATTACAAAGGGCAACATCAGTCGGAGACATTTTTAAAAGTAAGAAGACACCTCAAAATTAACACATTAATTTACAAAAAAACAATTTGATAGCTTTTGAAAGCTATATATGACATGTCCAAGTATGGGATGATTCAACAAAACTGTCACTGTCATTCTCCATAGCCTATGGATGGACCATAGCAACCTTAGTTCTTCATACAGGAAAAATATTGGAAATTGCAATGTTTTTTTTTAAATTCCATATTTTCCACAAAAATAAATATATCGAGGTAAATTAAAAACAAAACTGTTAAGAATAGATGTGACTTGATAAATAAAACTTAATTTAGAACAATATACGGTTTTGCCACTCTACAGAGTGTCTTAAACTTATGGTAAAAAATATCTTTTTGTTTAAACCTGTATATTATAAACGTACGTCTATTTTGTAGTAACTTTTTAAAATGTGAGCGATTGTCCATTCATTTATCTACAATATTCTTTAATATTCGTTTAAATCCGAGAAACTTTACCTATTTAGGTCACATAAAACTGTCCTGTTTTTCGTGCTTTTCTTTTGACCGTTAATATACTGTGCAGATCTTCTCCATATCGCAGGGCTCGGTCACGGTCCGATGAACATGAACTTCACCGCCCCTTCGGACACTTCAAACAGCAGCGGATCTATTTCGCGACCCGCGGCTACAACGGGATCCGAGATCCTGGACAAAACTTCGCACGAGCTGAAGCTGGAAAAGAGCAACATTTTGCTGTTGGGGCCCACCGGCTCAGGTAAATATTTTTAGCTTTATTGTTTTATGAAATACAGTCGAGTGTTAAAACATTTTAAGGGAATATTAATGTGGCAAAACAGGTAAGTATCCACCTGGTTTTTACATGCACCTGTGCAGGTGCAATCCTAATTTCACATACATTAATATGTTTGGTGAAAAAAACAAACAAATTATGTAAGCATTAAGGTAGTTGTCGTGGTACAATATTGTCAAAAATTTTTAGATTATACGCACCGTAAAAGTATACGAGCTTGTAGCTAAGTGAATCATAATTTATTCGCAAGACTGTACCCTGGAGACGATACCTTTACGTAATACTTTCAAATATTTTCATAAGTTTTAATCCGGCAACGTCGCTTATGCTCAACCAATAGATATATTGGAGACTGAATCAGTGTTTAAATTTACTGCGGAAATAATATCTATACTCGCGTACAGCGTTGCCAAGTTGTTTTTATCTGACACTAGTGATGTATACTTTTTACAAATTGTTGAACTTTAAACGGTTATTTATAAACAATTGGACGGTCAAAAATTTTTAATTATTTTTTTTTAAACTCAGCAAAAATACATTAAAAGACTGTTAGTTTTTTGAAAGCTTCTGACAGTTAGTTTTTTTTTATAACTACGAAACTGGTACAGAACTACAGAAAGCCTATACAATCCATGTTAATTATCCAATTTTTAATTGAATTTATCTCGAGTTATAGACGGTCAATCGACTTCAAGTTTTAAGGATAATTGTATTGTCATGTCCTTAATATGTATACAAAAATTTAAAATTTTCTGATGGTATGCTTACAGCACGACAACTACCTTAAAAACGCCATGTGAAATCGTATCAATAATAATTATTATAATATTTTATCAAAAAACAAATCAACGTAAAACCAAAAAAATTAAACTGAAAATGTTTTCGAAACAATATTGTATTATAGTTTTTTAAATTTAAATTTTGATTTAAATAAAAGTTTTGAAAAAATTCTTACATCTCTTTCTTATTTTCGCTTATCCAGGGTGAGGGGGTCCAAATTATTTTTTTTTTAATTTTGACTACTAAAAATCTAAACAAAAATTAAAAATAACTTTAAGTAGCTTTAAACATTATTATATATATAAAAAATAAAATATTAGTTCATAAAAACTGAAAAATATAAAAGTTTATAAGAAAAAATTGCAACAAGTAATAAATAATCTCAAAATATTAATAAAAACATTAATTTGTTAATTTTTTTAAAATTAATAAAATAAGAAAAAATCTTGAAATTGTAAATTTTGTTTTATAAACCAAAATCTTTGACCTTGTTCCAATTAAATGTGTTAATTAGTGTCAAAACCTAAAGAGTTTTGTAAAATATTGGACAAAAATCAATTGATAATCAAATAAAAGTCGAATAAAAAAACATTTCAGAAACAAATATAAAGTTTTTAAAATTCAAATTTTGATATTTAATAAAACTTGGATAAATTCTTTCGTCTTATCATTTGGGGGAGGAGGCTCGAGATTTTCTTATTTTTTTTATTTTGAATACTATAAATCTAAAAAAAATATATAAATAACTTTAAAAAGATTTAAAAATTAGTAAATAGATAAAATATAAATGTTAATTCATAAATAATAAAAAATGTAAATTTAATAATCCAAAACCTTTATAAAAATATATTAATTTGTTATATTTTTTGAAATTTTATTAAAAATATTGAAAAAACATAAGCAAGTTTTTAAAATTGTAAAATGAGAAGAAAAAATCTTAAACTTGTAAAATAGAAAATAGTCATAAAAATTATTTTTTTATAAACCAATTTGTTCCAATTAAATTTGTTATTTATGTGTCAAAACCTAGAGTTTTGTGAAAATATTGGACAAAAATCAATTGACAATCTAGTAAAAGTCAAATAAAAAACATTTCAGAAGCAAATATTAAGTTGTTTAAGTTTAAATTTTAATATTTAATAAATGTTTGGAAGTGGGGAAGGGGGCTCGAGATTTTCTTATTTTCGCTTATACAGGGGGAGGGGGTATATTTTTTAATTTTAAACTGGTACTAAAAATACAAAAAAATTAAAAATAACTTTAAATAGCTTTTAACATTAGTAAATATATAAAAAAATAATATGGTTATTCATAAAAACTAAAAAATGCAAAAATTTATAACAAAAAATCTTAATAAAAAAACATTTTAGAAACAAATATAAAGTTTTTAAAATTCAAATTTTGATATTTAATAAAACTTGGATAAATTCTTTCGTCTTATCATTTGGGGGAGGAGGCTCGAGATTTTCTTATTTTTTTTATTTTGAATACTATAAATCTAAAAAAAATATATAAATAACTTTAAAAAGATTTAAAAATTAGTAAATAGATAAAATATAAATGTTAATTCATAAATAATAAAAAATGTAAATTTAATAATCCAAAACCTTTATAAAAATATATTAATTTGTTATATTTTTTGAAATTTTATTAAAAATATTGAAAAAACATAAGCAAGTTTTTAAAATTGTAAAATGAGAAGAAAAAATCTTAAACTTGTAAAATAGAAAATAGTCATAAAAATTATTTTTTTATAAACCAATTTGTTCCAATTAAATTTGTTATTTATGTGTCAAAACCTAGAGTTTTGTGAAAATATTGGACAAAAATCAATTGACAATCTAGTAAAAGTCAAATAAAAAACATTTCAGAAGCAAATATTAAGTTGTTTAAGTTTAAATTTTAATATTTAATAAATGTTTGGAAGTGGGGAAGGGGGCTCGAGATTTTCTTATTTTCGCTTATACAGGGGGAGGGGGTATATTTTTTAATTTTAAACTGGTACTAAAAATACAAAAAAATTAAAAATAACTTTAAATAGCTTTTAACATTAGTAAATATATAAAAAAATAATATGGTTATTCATAAAAACTAAAAAATGCAAAAATTTATAACAAAAAATCTTAATAAAAAAACATTTTAGAAACAAATATAAAGTTTTTAAAATTCAAATTTTGATATTTAATAAAAGCTTTTATAAATTCTTTCGTCTCATTATTTGGGGGAGGAGGCTCGAGATTTTCTTATTTTTTTTTATTTTGAATACTATAAATCTAAAAAAATATATAAATAACTTTAAAAAGCTTTAAAAATTAGTAAATAGATAAAATATAAATGTTAATTCATAAATAATAAAAAATGTAAATTTAATAATCCAAAATCTTTATAAAAATATATTAACTAATTATATTTTTTGAAATTTTACTAAAAATCTTGAAAAAAATAAGCAAGCTTTTAAAATTGTAAAATGAGAAGAAAAAATCTTAAACTTGTAAAATAGAAAATAGTCATAAAAATTATTTTTTTATAAACCAATTTGTTCCAATTAAATTTGTTATTTATGTGTCAAAACCTAGAGTTTTGTGAAAATATTGGACAAAAATCAATTGACAATCTAGTAAAAGTCGAATAAAAAACATTTCAGAAGCAAATATTAAGTTGTTTAAGTTTAAATTTTAATATTTAATAAATGTTTGGAAGTGGGGAAGGGGGCTCGAGATTTTCTTATTTTCGCTTATACAGGGGGAGGGGGTATATTTTTTAAATTGGTACTAAAAAAACAAAAAAATTAAAAATCACTTTAAATAGCTTTTAACATTAGTAAATATATAAAAAATATTATGTTAATTCATAAAAACTAAAAAATGCAAAAATGTATAACAAAAAATTGCAACGAATAATAAATAATCTCAAAATCTTAATAAAAATTTAGTATTTTAGTTTAAATTTAAATTTTTTTCGCTTATACAGGGGGAGGGGGTCTAAATTATTTTTTTTAATTTTGACAACTAAAAATCTAAAAAAAAAATTAAAAATAACTTTAAGTAGCTTTAAACATTATTAGATATATAAAAAATAAAATGTTAGTTCATAAAAGTCGAACAAAAAAATTTTAGAAACAAATATAAAGTTTTTAAAACTCAAATTTTGATATTTAATAAAAGCTTTGATAAATTCTTTCGTCTTATCATTTGGGGGAGGAGGCTCGAGATTTTCTTATTTTTTTTTATTTTGAATACTATAAATCTAAAAAAATATATAAATAACTTTAAAAAGCTTTAAAAATTAGTTTATATATAAAAAATAAAATGTTAATTCATAAACACTAAACAATGTAAATTTAAAAATTCAAAATCTTTATAAAAATATATTAATTTGTTACATTTTTTGAAATTTTACTAAAAATCTAGAAAAAACATAAGCAAGCTTTTAAAATGGGCAAATGAGAAGAAAAAATCTTTAACTTGTAAAATAGAAAATAGTCGTAAAAATTATTTTTTTATAAACCAAAAGCTTTGAATTTGTTCCAATTAAATTTGTTATTTATGTATGTGTCAAAACCTAGAGTTTAAGTATTAAGTGTTTTAATTTTAAATAGGTACTAAAAATACAAAAAAATTAAAATATCTTTAAATAGCTTTAAACATTAGTAAATATATAAAAAATAATATGTTAGTTCATAATATTTATAACAAAAAATTGCAATAAATAATAAATTATCTCAAAATCTTAATAAAAATATATTAATTTGTTAATTTTTTTAAAATTTTACTCAAAATAATAAAGAAATAAGGGAGCTTTTAAAATTGATAAAATAAGAAGAAAAATCTTGAAATTGTAAAATTGAAATTGGTCATACTTTTTTTTATCTAACCATGTAGAATTTCAATATTGCGGCCATAGGAAAAACAAAATATAGTAGGCAAAAAAAATAAAAAATTGGATAAAAATATGTTTAAATGGGAAACATACTTTTTTTTTAAATTCCCAGGAATGACTAAAGTTATAACGAATTTCGGTTTTGACAGGTTTTCAGTTTTTTTTTAATTATTTAAGAAGTTACTTTGCTAAATCCCAACCCGATTATAAATCCTTAATATTGTGTTGCTATAATTCAAAAGGTTTCAATTGCTATAAAAACAGTTACTGTTCATTATATTGTTTAAAAAATTACTGATATCTCGAGAGAACGGTAAAGGCAGTAACTGTTGACAAAAAGTTTACGCAACACTTTCATTAATAGTACTTAATACCATAAAAGGTGCAATCTTAGTTTCTCATCTGTCTCTCCCTGCAGGTAAAACTCTTCTGGCCCAGACCATCGCTCAGTGCCTGGACGTGCCTTTCGCGATTTGCGACTGCACGACTTTGACGCAGGCCGGTTACGTGGGCGAGGATATCGAGAGCGTGATAGGCAAGCTGCTGCAAGACGCAGGATACAGCGTGGAAAGGGCGCAGATCGGCATCGTGTTCCTGGACGAGGTCGACAAAATCGGTGCCGTGCCCGGCATACACCAGCTCAGAGATGTCGGCGGTAAGAAAGTAACCGGGATAATATTTACGCGTTTTTTGGATTGTCTAATGGCGAGCTAAACTGGAAAATAATCATAAAAATATAACATTAAATTTTAATTGTTTTGTCAAAATATTTTTATTAACAAACATATAAACTAAACGTTAAAAGAGTTTAAAATTTTTAAATCTGAAAAACTTAATTATGAAATTAAATTAAAAGTAGTAAGAAAATAACCGGGATAATATTTACGCGTTTTTTGGATTGTCAAATGACGAACTAAACTGGAAAATGATCATAAAAATATAACATTAAATTTAAATTGTTTTTTTTTTTAATTTGTAAAAATATTTGTATTAACAAACTTATAAACTAAACGTTAAAAGAGTTTAAAATTTTTAAATCTGAAAAACTTAATTATGAAATCAAATTAAAAGTAGTAAGAAAATATCCAGAATAATATTTACGCGTTTTTTGGATTGTCTAATGACGAACTAAACTGGAAAATAATCATAAAAATATAACATTAAATTTAAATTGTTTTTTTTTTAATTTGTAAAAATATTTGTATTAACAAACTTATAAACTAAACGTTAAAAGAGTTTAAAATTTTTAAATCTGAAAAACTTAATTATGAAATCAAATTAAAAGTAGTAAGAAAATATCCAGAATAATATTTACGCGTTTTTTGGATTGTCTAATGACGAACTAAACTGGAAAATAATCATAAAAATATAAAATTAAATTTCCATTGTTTTTTTAGTTTGTAAAAATATTTTTATTAACAAACTTATAAACTAAACTTTAAAAGAGTTTAAAGTTTTTAAATCTGAAAAACTTAATTATGAAATTAAATAAAACTAAAGTTCGTAAATAAACAATACATATCAAATGACGAGCCAAACTAGAAAATAATCATTAAAATATAAAAATATATTGAATGTTTTTTTTTAGTTTGTCAAAATATTTTTATTAACAAACTTTAATATAAAAAGAGTTTAAAATTTGTAAGTCTTAAAAAATTAATTATTAAATTAAAATAGAAGTTGGTAAATAAACAATACATGTTTAAATCTTAAAAACTTAATTATTACATTAAATTAAAACTGAAGTTAGTAAATAAACAATACATATCAAATGTCTAGCTAAACTATCATAAAAATATGATATATTTAAATAGTTTTTTTAGTTTGTCAAAATATTTTTATTAACAAACTTATAAACTAAACGTTGAAAGAGTTTAAAATTTTTAAATCTGAAAAACTTAATTATGAAATTAAATTAGTAAGAAAATAACCGGAATAATATTTACGCGTTTTTTGGATTGTCAAATGACGAACTAAACTGGAAAATAATCATAAAAATATAAAATTTAATTTAAATTGTTTTTTTAGTTTGTCAAATTAGTTTTATTAACAAACTTATAAACTAAACTTTAAAAGAGTTTAAAGTTTTTAAATCTGAAAAACTTAATTATGAAATTAAATAAAACTAAAGTTCGTAAATAAACAATACATATCAAATGACGAGCCAAACTAGAAAATAATCATAAAAATATAAAAATATATTGAATGTTTTTTTTTTTGTTTGTTAAAATATTTTTATTAACAAACTTAAATATAAAAAAAGTTTAAAATTTGTAAGTCTTAAAAAATTAATTATTAAATTAAATTAAAATAGAAGTTGGTAAATAAACAATACATGTTTAAATCTTAAAAACTTAATTATTACATTAAATTAAAACTGAAGTTAGTAAATAAACAATACATATCAAATGTCTAGCTAAACTATCATAAAAATATGATATATTTAAATAGTTTTTTTAGTTTGTCAAAATATTTTTATTAACAAACTTATAAACTAAACGTTGAAAGAGTTTAAAATTTTTAAATCTGAAAAACTTAATTATGAAATTAAATTAGTAAGAAAATAACCGGAATAATATTTACGCGTTTTTTGGATTGTCAAATGACGAACTAAACTGGAAAATAATCATAAAAATATAAAATTTAATTTAAATTGTTTTTTTAGTTTGTCAAATTAGTTTTATTAACAAACTTATAAACTAAACTTTAAAAGAGTTTAAAGTTTTTAAATCTGAAAAACTTAATTATAAAATTAAATAAAACTAAAATTCGTAAATAAACAATACATATCAAATGACGAGCCAAACTAGAAAATAATCATAAAAATATAAAAATATATTGAAATGTTTTTTTTTAGTTTGTCAGAATATTTTTATTAACAAACTTTTAAACTAAACGTTAAAAGAGTTTAAAATGTTAAAATCTTAAAAACTTAATTATTAAATTAAATTAAAACTGAAGTTAGTAAATAATCAATACATATCAAATGACGAGCTAAACTAGAAAATAATGATAAAAATATGAAAAAATATTAAAATAGTTTTTTGTTTAGTTTGTAAATATATTTTTAATAACAAACTTATAAACTAAACATTAAAATAGTTTTAAATTTTTAAAACTTAATTATTAAATTAAATTAAAACTGAAAAATATATATAACTGAAAAATATGAAAATATATTTAAATATTTTTTCTAGTTTGTTTGATTTCTGCACGTCTGAATCAAAAAATTATTATCTTGTAAACTATTTATAAAAAATTCTTTGGTAAAAAATTAAAACATACTAAAAATCACGAAGTTAGGCAACCCACTGCACAGACTTTAACGGCGGCCATTTTTGTTGTTTACAATTCTTGTGCTTTGGGTTTGTGCTGTTTAAAATTTAAAGTATCAATTATTTCAAAATTTTAATTATAAAAATTTATATTATACCACGATATTTTTTTGTTGAAGTTTTATTAACTTTTAAACTTAAAACAAAATCTCAAAAGAAGTTTCGAAATTGGTTAAAAACATGCAAAACCTTAAAAACAAAATCGTTAAAACATGGAAATCAAAATATCTTTTTTATTTTATGTTTTTTGGTATTTTGTTAAGTTATTCTTATTAGGAAATAGATTCTAAAAAAAATCTAGAATTTTCTCTGAAACCGTTGAAAACATACAAAATAAAAAAAATACGTTAACATTTTTGGAAACCACGAAAGCAGCATTAAAAATAAGTAATTTTACAAGATAAAAATTAAAAAGTTTTAATTAAATATTCTACATTTTCTATTACCTACTTACTTACTTGCATAATTTGCACATGTTAAACAGTTTTTTTTTAAATAATTATTGTGTTAGCAAGGTTGACATAATTTTAGCTAGTTTTTAGATAAGATAAAACCGCTATATTAATTGTTAATAGAAAATTTACATTTTAAGTATGTTATACAATGAATAATGGTTTTAAATTTAATACAATTTTTAATGTCAATTATACAGGGTGTTATGTAATTAATGTTATATATTAAAATACTGAATACCTTTTGACATAAGGAATAAAGGAAAAATATTTTAAAAAGCATTTTTCCAAAGATAAAGAAAAAATATGCATTAGAAGTTTTTTATATTTTTTGTGATACGCCACTGGTTACACACTTGTTTATCTCTGCACACCTGTATTTTGTGAGTACATAGATACCAACCAACAAAGTAGCTATGCGTTGCCAGGTGTAAAAAATTGTTACTAAAAATTTTTCTTGCAAAAAATAAATAAAAACTCAATAAATACAAAAGTTTTATGCCCTTAAAGCTCTAATACCCTTCTGTATTTATTTACTGATCCAGCTATTAGCTTAAGCAATGATTAGAAAATTTAGTACCTTTGAAATTTGAAATCCATAACCACAAAATTAATTTTTTCATCAGTTTTTTTCTCTGTTTACTCAGATGAAATTGGGACCAGTTCACAGGTTAAACTTTAAACATTTAATTTGTGTAAATAAATCCAAAAGCACTTCCCTTAGTTAAGATATTTACAATTTGAAAACATAACCTAAAATTTAAAAGAAATGCACTAGATTCTGTCATAAAAGTTGGCAGATTTTGTTTGAATTTACCTTCAGTACAAAAATGAAATAACCAACAATTAATAAAAACGCCAAATTGACAATTTGCATTGTTAATTTTGTCATTTTTGTAATTAAGCTAAATTTAAACAATGTTTGTCAACTTTTTTGAGAGATTTTGGAAAAACTGTTGTTACCAACCATAACATAATAAATCCACCAGATTAACCTAAAGTTCCTATTCGATCAGTGGCGTACTTTTTGGTAGGATAAAGGTTATTATAAATTATTTTTAGACTTTGGAATTTAGAAAAAAAAAGTTTCAGGTGCTTCTTTATGCACCCTAAGGAACAACCCATTTTAATATATAACATTAATTACATAACACCCTATATACTGGGTCGTAAATTCTTTAATTTCCTATATGCAAGAGATATTCCTCACCATAGCTCTGTGGATGCTGCATGAAAAATAAAAAAAATATAATACTTATATAAGGAAAACTGTACAAAAAAAAACATAAATTAATTATAGCAAGTAGGATTCTTTTGAATGTTTTAACGTTTCTTTATTTAATTTAAGGTGAGGGTGTTCAACAGGGCATGCTAAAAATGCTGGAAGGCACCGTTGTCAACGTACCAGAAAGAAATTCCCCTAGAAAATTGAGAGGAGAAACAATCCAAGTAGATACAACTAATATCCTATTTGTTGCTAGTGGAGCTTACAACGGACTTGAACGCTTGATACAACGCAGAAACAACGAAAACGTAAGTTTTTATGATTTTAAAAGGTTTTTTTTTTAAATAAAAAATATCTTATTTTTGAACATTTATTTTGTTGCCCTGACAGAAAAAAACAGAAAATGGTTAATACTTTTTTTGTACATCGCCTTCTAACAAAAAAAAACGGCAACTTTTTTATTTAAAAAGCTACAAGGTTTCTTAAATTAGACAAAAATTGCAGTCTGTCAAAATAGCATTTGAAAGTTGGAAAAAAAATCAGCGGTTTTCAATTAATTTATTTAAAATCTTCAAAGAAAACTGACAACCTGTCATTATAACTTATTTATTCCTGGAAATTTAAAAAAAAGTAAGGTTTACATGTAAACATACACATTTATGTACATTTTTAAAAAATTTATATTTTTTTTTGCACACTACATTTTGAGTTACCAACAACATCTTTTGTTTTTCCTACTTTTCCGCCATTTTTACATGGTTAGATAAAAGTTATGGCGGTCATTATAAAAACAAAAAAAGCGATGGTAACTCAAAATATAGTAGCAAAGAAATTCCTTGAAAATTTATAAAAATGCTTATATTTGGTTACACCATGTAACTTACATGTAGGGCTTAATTAATTTCAAAATTCAAAAACATAGACTTTGGAATTAAAAATGTAACAATAATTTATTTTTGGTATGAATTATTTTTCAAATAATTTTGGAAAAAAATCTCAAAATTTAGCGTCAAAAATCATACAAATATAGAAAATAGTCTTTTAAAAAAACTAGTATTTTTCTATATTTTTATGATTTTTTGTCACTAAATTTTGAGATTTTTTTCAAAATTATTTTAAAAATAATTCATTTGGTTAACGCCATATTTTAAAAATGACGCTCAGTGTAATTCAAGTTATTTAAGCTAAACTCTATAGATGCTTAATTTCGCTTAAAAATACACAATTTGGGTACCCGCAAAAAATTTGTGTCAAAATTATATACGCTAAAGAAGTATCGAGTTTTCGCAACGCGCGCGCCATCTGGTGGGCTTCGATAGCATTGCGTGAATTTAAGAATTGTCAACAATACATTTAAAGCATACGAACTGCACATCATTTTTAAATAAATAGGTAGTTTTTTCACAAAAGAGAGGAAGGCAGAAGTCTTACTCGACAAATTTTGTTCAATTGCACAGCTAAATCGCGCACGATATTTTTGTTTTACGTTGCAAGGAAAAAATTAAAAAACTTTTTTAGTACTCGATTTCGATTGATTATTCCTTACATCATTGATTAAGAAACAACGCTTAAATGCTTATATATAGTTACGTTAGTTTGAGTATTTTATCTAAGGGATCAAGGTGAATTATTGTGTTTTTAATTGTAAATAAAATTCAAGAACTAAATCGTTGCATTTTCATGTTTTGCCGAAGAATCCAATTCGGTACATACATTTGTTGGTGCAGAATTAACTAATGATAACTTTACCTAATATAATTTATATTTAAATTTGGACATTTTTAAGAAATTAGTAAAAAATAATTTTTGCACAAACATAACCTTAAAATCAACCATTTAACAACAAAATATACCTACGAATTTATGGCAACATAATATTATATATAATACATAATATAATGGTATTTTACCGTTGAGTGGAGACTTTCTTAATCAACTCTTTTAATAATGCTAAATTCTGTTTAAATTTAGACGACTTATTTGTTTGACGATTTTTACTGAATTGAAATGTTTACACTTTTCACGTTAATCACTACTAAAATGTGTATTATTATTATTGTATCTAATAGGTACAATTTATATTTACAACACAACAAATCGTGTCACGGTTTTTTTTCCGATATTTTTTAACATTTTCCGGTTTTATTTTTAAAAACACTCGTTTGTAACCTAAGCGTCTGACAGCTGATTATCAAAAGTTCTACTTTTGTTAGGATGATAACAGCCGAGTGGTGGCGCTACTAGCGATACTTCTTTAGCGTATAAATCTGACGTTTACATTCCAAGTCAATCACACTGACTGTAGCGTCTTCATGGTTTGTGGGAGGGAATGGAACCTTTCTTACCTGATTAGTGGGAGGGAATAAAAATATATACAGGGGAAGAAATAAAATTGTTCACAGCGGGAAAAATGAATGTCATTAATTATTAATAATTGCGCTTTCTTTTGGAAGCGCAAATTTGTTGTGGAAAAAATATTTTTATTTTTGTGTGGATTGTGCCGAGAAACAAATCATTTGTAATGCTCAATTCATTGTTTTTGAATTTTGAAATTAATTATGCTTTACATGTAACCATGTACCTATCTTAATTTTTATCCAATTTGTTTTTTATACACTGACAGGCAAAATAATCGATCCACACAAATTTTTGATGAATTTCATTCGCAAATAACTTTTTTGTTTGATGTGGGATATAAATGAATATTAAAGAATACTGTAGATAAATTAATGGACAATCGCTCACATTTTAAAAAATTACTAACAAATAGACGGTTACAGGTTTAAACAAAAATATGTTTTTTACCACTCTGTAGAGTGGCAAAACCGTATATTGTTCTAAATTAAGTTTTATTTATCAAGTCACATCTATTCTTAACAGTTTTGTTTTTGGTTCACCTCGATATATTTATTTTTGTGGAAAATATAGATTTTTTTTTAAAAAAATTGCATTTTTCTGTATGAAGAACTAAGGTTACTATGGTCCATCCATAGGCTATGGAGAATGACAGTGACAGTTTTGTTGAATCATCCCATACTTGGACATGTCATACACGGCTTTCAAAAGCTATCAAATTGTTTTTTGCAAATTAATGTTTAAATTTTGACGTGTCTTCTTACTTCAAAAAATGGATATGTCTCCGACTGATGTTGCCAGAGCCATTAATTTAATCCAGGATGGACGGTCACAGTATTACGTGGCAAGGGTTTTAAACGTCACAAGAAGTAAAGTACAAAGAGTAACATCAGTGGAAGACATTTTTAAAAGTAAGAAGACACCTCAAAATTAACACATTAATTTACAAAAAACAATTTCATAGCTTTTGAAAGCTGTATATGACATGTCCAAGTATGGGATGATTCAACAAAACTGTCACTGTCATCCTCCATAGGCAGGCCCGGATTGGGCCGGGGGGCTAGGGGGCAAAGCCCCCAGGGCCGCTGCCCGGATGGGCCGCCAAGGCCGTAATATAATATAATATGAATGCTTTATAAAATTAAAAGGGAAAAACTTCTCCAGAAGAAGTTTTCTCATCTATGAATTATCCTTAGGTTTTGATAACTTTTACCATAGATCATAAAAGTTTCTGTGAATTTATTTTATGATTTATTTCCAAATAAAGGCACAGTAAACAGTTTACTGTTTTTGAGATGACTTTTTAAAGTATGTAATTTCGGTAAAAGATGGCGCTACAGCCCTCTGGCTACAAACGCGCGTGTGTAAAACCTACAATTTTTGTGTTTTAGTTTGCCTAAATATTGAATGTGCAAATCTTGATGTGTACTAAAGGTACAACTATTTATAAAATATACTTTTTTAAATATTCACTACAATTTAGTACAACTGGTAATAAAAACCAAGTGGCCCCCTACAGACAAAATTACGTATCATTAAAAGTTGATATTTTAAGCAGAGACAATACTTTTAAGTAAAGTTATTTATAATATCTACATGGTTTTTTATTTTTTTATTGTTGTATGGTAAAACTTGTATCGTATCGGTGTATTACTCTGGCTGCGTTATAAGGAAAATTTAAAAAAATGAATAAACGTGTAAAAGGTGGAGCTGAAAAAGAACGAGAAAGAAAAAGGAAGAAAAGGGAAAATGAAGCGGCACAGTCATGATTTATTATCTATGGGCACAGTGTCATAACATCGGAGATTTGTTCAAAGCTATTAAGGTAAAAGTGACTTTTTATTGTTAATTTTATATTATTATAATCTTTATGTATTATATTCGTTCCATATTGAATTGATGTAATTATTATCTTAACATTATTAAACACTTAATCTACAACGCAAAAAAATACCACTTATTCAAAATGTACCGTTGTAGAAATAAACTCAAAAAAAAGGTAATAAACTTCTGGTTGTGCAAAATATTAGTCAGTGGTTTACGTGTACGTGTACGTATTTTGTTTGACATATGAAATTATTTTTTATAGAAAACAGACCATAATACGGATAAAGTTGATGATAACGCTAAAGACCCAGCAATCCCCTCTACCTCTACTTCTACTTTTGGTAACATTTCTTTTTTGCTTTATTTATTTTTATCTTCTTTTAATAACAAACTTCTAGACAGTCGAGCAGTCGCTAGCATCGATTGAAAATAAAAATACTTTGCAAATTACTGAAAATGAAAATCGAGAATGTGGTATCGTTGAGAATTTTAAAAGGCCATCTAAAAATGACTATTATTCTTTTTTCAAAATTCATCCAATACAACCTACTGATAAAGTTAAATTCAACCCAAGTTTGGCCTATTTTCGAGAAGACCTTGACACCAAAAAAATCAGAAGACAGTGGATCTCATTTTGCATGCGAACAGAGTAATAATTTTTTCTGCTCATTCTGCTTAGCCTTTAACAAAGAACCGAATTCATTCACGGAAGGCTGTAAAATTGATCCTCACAGAATATATGACCGAATAAGAAAGCACGAAAAATCGATTGCTCATCAAGCATCAGCAGAATCCTTTTTATTGCAAAGTAAAATGAAAGATATATATAGCTTGTGCACCGATACCTCTAAAAAATCACAAGAAATTAAGGCTGGAATGTTCTCTATCCAAATTGATTCAACTCAAGATATCAATGTTCATGATCAGCTGAGTGTTATTGTAAGATATGTTTCGGAAGATGTAAAAGAGAGATTGTTTGGAATCATAAATTGTACCTCTAGTACAGGTGCCAACTTATACCAAATTGTAACGGAATTACTTGTTAAAAATGGCATTGATATGAAAAATTGTATTGGTTCTGCTACCGATGGTGCCTCAAATATGCAAGGCCAGTATAAGGGTTTTTCGGCATATATGGAGAAAAATTTTAATGGCCAAGTGCATGTTTGGTGTTACGCACATGTACTTAATTTGGTGATGGCTGACACGACCAGCATTTCCGTTGAAGCAATTTCGTTATTTGCTATTATTAACCAATGTGCAGGATTTATTCGTGAGTCTTATAAAAGGATGGCAGTTTGGGAAAAAAAAGAAAATGTTGTCTTCAATTGGAGAAACTCGTTGGTGGGCAAAAGATAAAGCTCTAACAAAAATGTTTGGACATTACAATAATCCAAAAAATGCAGCTTTTGTAGAGATTATATTAACCCTAGAGGAAATTGCCAGTTCATCCAATTTCGCAAACGAAGCGCGTTTCAAGGCAAAGTCCATTGCTGACTCACTGAAAAAATTTGAAGTAATACTAAGTGCTCAAATCTTTTTAAAAATTTTTGAATCGACAACTCCATTATCCAAATACCTTCAAACAAACGGAATGAATCCTATTATGGCATTTAAAATGGTTGAAAAAACCATAACCACCCTCAAAACAGACTCAAGGAGTTTTGAAGCAGTTTTGGTAGCGGCCAAAAAATTTGTCCTTTGGGCAAATCGAAGAATAGATGATGAATCCGATGAATGTTGATGATGATAATAATGACCCTCTCGTTAAAGTGGAAAGAGAACCATATTTTTCGTCTAATTTTGCTGCAAAACGAATTAAAAAAAGAAAAATGATGCCTGGGGAAAAAAGTAATGATGAATGTATCGCTGATCCAGAAAAGAGATTTGAAACACAGGTTTACAATGTTATTTATGACAATGCTTTGCAAAGTTTGGAAAACAGATTCACAGGCCACCAAACATTATTTTTGAACCTTGCTTGGCTAGATCCGTCCTATTTTGGAAAAATTGATGATTTGCCACTTGATTCATTTCAAAATATTGCGGATCAAATAACAAAACACAGTGGCAATAATATTGTGACCTCAGCAGAAATTTATAGTGAGCTGAAAGATTTTGCGAAAAAATGGAACAAGATGAAAGAGATCTTGGTAAATAAAAAGAGCAAATCTATATTGAAGGAAGATGAATCCCAACATCTCGCTGTAGCTATTTGTGAAACATGCAAAAATTGCGTTGTGTGTTGTTTTCAAGTTTTGCTCCAATATAAATTACATACAATGTCTTACAATAATTTATATAACGCTTATAAATACGTTTTAACTTTGTCATGTACCCAGGTTTCCTGTGAAAGAACTTTTTCAAAGTTAAAATTTATACAGAATAGACTAAGGAGTTGTCTTACACAAGAACACTTGGATGCCTTACTGCTGATGTCCGTTGAAAAAGAAATTCTTGTAGATATAAATACTGATGTGATTATAGATAATATTGCCACCAAAAGCGAATCCTTAAAAAAAATATTAATTCTTTAAAACTTAATAAAAAACATTCATTTCTTTCAAATTTTTTTATTGTTACAAAAAAATTGATGAGGTTTAAGGGCCGGTTTATAATCAAAGCCCGGGCCGAAAAATTATCCCAATCCGGGCCTGTCCATAGGCTATGGATGGACCATTGCAACTAGAGATGTGTCGGTCAGATCTGAACCGGCTCAGTGAACCGGGTCTTATAAGTGATCTACGTGAACCGGTTCACGAAAATTAAACGAACCGGCTCACGGGTCCGAAATTACAAAGCGGCCGCGCGCAAGCCGTTCTAAGCTCCGATTCACTGCTTCACCACTCGCAGCGAGTGACTCGCTATGCTGCTGCAGTGCATTGAACAGGCCGCGCATGGCGAGCCGCTCGAGCCGTGAGCGGCGGGTCGCGAGAGATCTGAACCGGCTCCCTGGAGCTAAGAACGACTCGCGCTCGCAGTACGTTTTGTTTTCTGTGATCCAGATCTGCCCAAAACATCTCGATTCTCTAGGCGCGGCTCGATCATGTCTGTTGTATCATGCAGCTCGCTAGTGCCTATGCCGGTCGCATCGTTCGGAACCGAACTTCTTGCGTTCTGTGGCGCGTTACTACGTTAGGCAAATTTATACTTTTGGTAATTTTTTACAAACCCACAGAAATATGAGATGATTTCCCTTATGACAATGTCGTTTAAAATATATTTTTAATATTAATTAATTTAAATTGTGTAAACTTACAACATTTATGTTTTAAATATAGCTTTTCATGTAAAATATTAAAATAATAGAGTTTTTATTGTTTTATAAAATTTTAATAAAATAAATAGTATGGTATAACAAAACTTTAATAAAATACAATGTAATATTTAATAGCCTTTATAATATTATTAAAATAACAATTTGTATTGCCTTATAATTTAATAAAGGCTCTTAAGTATTAAAGTGATAAACATTTTTAATATAAACTTAAAGTTTATGTGCTCCGAATGATTTCATTAAGTGTTATTTTTAATTAGTCTGAGATTCAAACGGTTCTTTTGAACCGGTTCGTTGAACCGGTTCACTTATGTGATCCAGATCTAGTGATCCGGTTCAAAAGAGTGACCCGGAACGCCCATCACTAATTGCAACCTAAGTTCTTCATACAGGAAAAATATTGGAAATTTCAATGTTTTTTTTTAAAAATCCATATTTTCCACAAATATAAATATATCAAGGTGAACCAAAGAAAAACGGTTAAAAATAGAGGTGACTTGATAATTAAAACTAATTTAGTAAAAAACATCTTTTTGTTTAAACCTTTATATTATAAATGTACGTGTATTTTTTAGTAATTTTTAAAATGTGAGAGATTCTCCATTAACGTATCTACAATTATTGTAGTACAATATTCTTTAATATTTGTTTAAATCCGAAATCAAATAAAAAAGTTATTTGCTATCGAAATTCATCGAAAATTTGTGTGGATCGATTATTTTGCCTGTGAGTGTATTATTTTTTTAAACTAGACTTAAAATGGAATGAGGATATTGAAAAAAACCATTAAAAAATAGAAAATTGCCATTTATATAATAAATGGTTGAATTAATGAATTGGGTCAGAATTTCTCAAACGGGCCACCTGAATTAGGTCAAAATTAGTTTTTGATTGTAGATACATTTTTTCGATAGTATTTTACATCACTAACACAAATCCTAAAGGATTTTGTAAAAAAAAAATTTTCAATTGACATATTTATGATATTAAAAGTAAAAGTTTTTAGTAATTAAAAAATAAAAAAAAATCATTATGGCTAAACTAATTATCCGATTCCAACGATTTAACTAGCGTTGGAATCTTGTTTTGACATAGATTCTTTGTTATTTTTTTCAATTGTACAATTTTCATTTAGGTCGATTTTTTTTTGTTTTTTTTATAACAAATTCGGAAATAATTGGCTTCTGCGCCAGCTATCGACTCGAAAAAAAAAACACATATACTCCAATCATTTTTCGAAATTATGCTGCTGAGAAAAAAAATGGCCCGCAGGTTCCAGACCACCGTAAGACGTCGCGTCACAAGCGCGTACAGCGTACACGGTTCGGAGCGTGAGCTGACACCACGCGCGGCCACAAAAGGACGAATAACTTTTTGTCAACCTGCGGGCCATTTTTTTTCTCAGCAGCATAATTTCGAGAAATGATTGGAGTATATGTGTTTTTTTTCTCGAGTCGATAGCTGGCGCAGAAGGCAATTATTTCCGAATTTGGTATAAAAAAACAAAAAAAAATCGACCTAAATGAAAATAGGACAATTGAAAAAAATAACAAAGAATCTATGTCAAAACAAGATTCCAACGCTAGTTATATCGTTGGAATCGGATAATTAGTTCAGCCATAATGAATTTTTTTATTTTTTAATTATTAAAAACTTTGACTTTTAATATCATGAATATGTCAATTGAAAATTTTTTTTTTACAAAATCCTTTAGGATTTGTGTTAGTGATGTAAAATACTATCAAAAAAATGTATCTACAAACAAAAACTAATTTTGACCTAATTCAGGTGGCCCGTTTGAGAAATTCTGACCCAATTCTTTCCATTTTTTTATTGTTATTTTTCCCTTTAGTATCTTGGTTTTGGAGCGCCCACTTCAACAGGCCAAGGCAGAAGAGCCGTCGCTCAAGAAGCGACCCTACACGCTTCTTCGCAAACAGCGCAAGAAGAAAATAACGAAAAAGACGCGGCCTTAAAGCAAGTGCAAGCCAGAGATCTCATCGATTTCGGAATGATACCTGTAAGCAAAAAACGTCGAGAAAGTTGTTCTTCGCATTTCTTACGAAAATTATCCTTTCTTTCAGGAATTTGTGGGCAGATTCCCGGTTCTGGTTCCGTTCCACAGTTTGGATCAAAAAATGCTGGTCAGAATTTTGACGGAACCCAAAAACGCGTTGATACCCCAGTATCAAAGGTTACTTGCCATGGACCAGTGCGATTTGTCTTTCACCCCGGAAGCCTTAAATGCCATCGCGACTTTGGCAATGGAAAGGAAAACTGGAGCTAGAGGGCTCAGAGCAATTATGGTAAGTTTAAAAATTGTACACTATCTACACTATCCAGTATCTAACCCAAAACAGTAATTTAATTAACATATAAATCTCAAAATCAATTAAACAACATTACTAATTTAATTGATTTAACGTTTAATAATGTTAAAATTCTATTTTTTGGTTGTAGTTTCTGGTTTTCTAACTTTATTGATCTTAAAAAAAATTAAAACAAAAAATATGGCCGTTGTATTTTTTAATTAAGAATTTCTAATATTAGTTTTGAATTTTAGATATCCGAAATTAATTTACTAGTTATATTTTTAATCCTGTCAAATATTTTAAACAATATTTATAATTCAACTAATTTAAAAACTAACAAATATCAGTGACACCACAATCCACACAACAAGGTCTGTTCTATCTCGTACTAAAAAAACAAAAAATCACTGCAACACTGCACAGTTTAACGGCGGCCATTTTAGTTGTTTACAATTTTTGTGCTTTGGGTTTGTACTCTGTTTATACAGATTAATAATCGTTTTAAACGTTGTGTCTCTCATAGTAAGCCTTAAACGAGTCCTTAAAGTGCTAAGAACAACCATTTTACTCCTTTAGTGTAAAAAATAAACGTTATTCTATCAGGGCTGTCATAAAACTGTCAAATGTCAATTTTAAGGTTAAATTATAACCCACAAATTAACCTTCAAATTGTCATTTGACAGCCCTGGTAGAATAAGGTATATTTATTATTAAAGAGGAGTAAAATGGTTGTCCTTAGCACTTAAAGGCCTTATTTGAGGCTTACAAGTGTCTCTGTAAGAAACCCAACGTTTAAAACAATTATTAAACAGCACAAACCCAAATCACAATAATTGTAAACAACAAAAATGGCCGCCGTTAAAATATATAAGTGAAACAAGAAATTGTTTAATATTTTTAAATCAATTTTTCTACTCCCACCTTTAAAACGCCCTTTATCGTACAAGTTTCTATGACACTAAGTGACCTTTTAAATACACATTGACAAGTTGTGGCTTTATGGCGCTTTAGTCACGGGCTGAAGTTAGCAACAGGTTTTTAATCACAGGCTGAAGTTGGTTTTAAGTTAGTTGACAGTTGTCAAATGTCATACAATCGTTAAAATAAAGTGCCTTTCATGTAAAATAATACTAAATGTGAAAATTATTTTATTATTTATAAGTTCGCTTGTGCCTAAATTAAATTCGTGTATAAAATGGCGTTTATCAAACTTGATACATAATATACTATTAATGCCAATTTTATTTGTTAAACATTTGACATCTGACAGCTGTCACCCGGATTTAACCTCACTTTTTTCCATTTTATAACAAACTTCAGGCCGCGAATAAAACGCCATAAAGTTGCAGCTGTCCAAAGCTGTTTAAAAAATGATTTATCTCCACGCGGTCTATAATTTAAACTTTATTGTTGTCAACATTCGATAAAGGCAAGTAATTAGTTCGATTTTTTTCTCGCTAGGGGTATTGTTTTGACAAATTAATCCTTTTCTAAGAAATTAACGTACTAAACTGGTTTAATTTATTTATAATAAGAACTAATTTGTTTGTTTTACTGTTAATGTTTAATATTTTTCATTAAATTATTGTAAAATTAAATATGAATAATAAAACAAAAAGTGAGGTTAGGCAACCAAGAAAACGCACGATTCTTTTTCTACGTTTTAAATTATCTTTAAGTTTTAATTTGCTTTAAGTTTTCAGTGAAATTAAATGTTAAACACAGCTTAAACATTCCAAACTACCTATTTTTTAAATAAAAATCCAAACAAATTGAAATTAGATACCTACCTATTTATTAACCAATTAATTGAATTCAGTGTAGTAGCAAAAATCCATTTCTACTTAAATCATGTTGCTAGGTATTGTCAAACTATTACTGCTTCTAAAAGCAATAATAACTATTGTACATTTAATGTAATCTTTAGCTAATAAATAAATGAGATTAAAAAAAGGTGAGGTTAGGCCGCTTTGATGTTGAATTAAATTGACCTTTATTAAGTGCTTTGAATATAAAATGTTGTATGCCATTCGGCCAAGAAGTGCCTTTTTGTGCTTCGCTCAATTGTTGAGCTTAGCACAAAAAGCCTTACTTCTTAACCTAATGACTATTGTTTTCCTTTAGGAATCATTGTTACTCGAACCGATGTTCGAGGTACCGGGCGCCGGAATCAGCGGGGTGCACGTGACGGAAGAGTACGTTAACGGCGATTGCACTCCCATCTATGCCAAAACGAGCGAACCAGCAACCGGAAGTGAAACCTCGGAGGAAGACGACATCAACACTTCGATCAGGGTAAAACAATGAGGCCATTTTCTACCACCATTAATAATTGATTAATTACTATAATGCTAGAACAATATTTTTTTGTTTTCGCTTTTTGTCTTATTTTTTGTGAAGTGATTTTCAAATTGCGTACATACTTTATCATATATAGTTAAATTGGAAGTGTCCTTAATTAATCTAGCTGAATAGGACTGCAAAACATTTTTTTATTCTAGAGTATACCTTTATTATTTATACGGAATTAACTTACTTACTTAGTTGGGTGCAACAAAAAACAAATTTCTAAATCGCAAAAAAATTATATAATGTATATAAAGTGATTTTTACATAGTTTAGTTCCTTCGCCACACATGATTTTATTTTGTGGCCCTAAAAACTGATTGTACATAATACATTTTAACTTGTTGAAAATAAAATTTTGTTAAAAACGTTTTTTTTTCGTTCAATTCGATTCCTTCAAGTAATCCAATCCCACTTCCCTCAGTTGCCTTCTCTCGTTCTGAATGGTTTGGTTGAATATTTTTTTTAGCTGAACGTGTCTACCCTAAAAAAATAATAGAAACTACACTGCGCGTCAAAATTAACGCATAACAAGTAAAAAAACTCCAAAACGCCCTTAACAAATCTTCGAGGGTTTTTCGAGAAAATATTTTTAAAGCCCTTTTATTTAATAATAAAAGAAAGTTCAAAAATAACTTTTAGGGAATTTTTTTTAAGTAAATAAAAAATATAATGTTAAAGACCGTATTTTTGCTAGTATGCCCTGAAAATTTTGTACAAATCAAACGAACAGTAACGAAGATACAGCGCTTCAAAGTCGGTAAAAATGACCCCTTTTTGATTATTTTGCTGAAAAGTGGTCATTTTTGACGACTTTGAAGCGTTGTATTTTCGTTACTGTTTGTTTGATTTGTACAACATTTTCAGGGTATACTTACAAAAACGCGGTCTTTCACAGCATATTTATTATTTACTTAAAAAAATTCCATATAAAAGTTTTTTTTCGAGCGTTTTTTATTATTAAATAAGGGCTTTAAGGATATTTTTTCGAAAAACCCTTTAACACGTAAACTGAGATATAAGTTAAAGTATTTTTATCCAAAATTTTATAAAGATTGGCAAGACGTTTTAGAGTTGTTTTTTTTTACTTGTTATGCGTTAATTTTTACGCGTTGTGTTTTACTAACAAATATTTTATTTGCAGAATTTGTTCCCATCTCTACAAGCCAGGTTGTAGTAGAAAAAAGAATTAGATTTAAGAGAACTGTGTAAATATATTATGAACAAATATTTGTATTAATTAATATACATATTTAAATAGAATATTTTTAATTATTCTGGTTTATTTTTTATTGTATGAATCTAATTATTTGGCTGATTTTTTAGGTTTAAAAAGATATGAGTACTCCAAATGTAAAAATATTTTTTCACCTCCACTAAAAATGCTTAATAAAAAGATCTATAACTTCAAAAGTATCTTTCTGAAAGTTTTAAAAACGATTCCAAAAAAAGGTTGTAAACTGGTCATTTTAACCAGAAAAAAACCTGTCCAAAAGTTTTTATGTATCCCCTGATTTTTTTTACTAGAAATGCGTATAAAAAATGTCTTAAGAATTTGGCCTAAATTAGTGTCAAAATTTTCGAAAAAGTTGAGCCGGCGAAAAAAAGAAATATTTTCCGGAAAAATTGTGACATTTTCAAAAATTAGCATTTTCAATTACAAAAAATTGCAAAACTCAATTTTTCTACAAATTTCCCAATTTTCCACACAAGGTTTTACTTTTTTTAATGCAATTTAAATAAAGTTACTCAGTTATAATAATTTTTTTGTCTCTTCTGTGAAAAATGAATTCTGGTTTTTACCTGGTTTTCTGGGATCTTAATTATTTTTTAATGAAAAATCAACTGGTATTTTTAATCCAAATTTTAAAAAATAAATTGTTTTAAATGGGTTGGCGCTATGAATTACCAATGTATGTCAGGTGCATTTCTATTGGATTTAGCCAATAGAGACAAGCATAGGCATGGATTGGTATATTCCAATTTAACTATGATTTCGCGAAAGAATCGAACGATTTTGGGGTATTTTTTTATAACACATCTCAGATTTTTTTTATATTTTAATATTGTGTTTATACATCTAATTCCAACCTAAAACTAAAATTTTTCTTTTATCTGACCTAAACTTTGGCTCCCAGAGACCATCTAATTTTACCTTTCGCAAAAAGCCATAATTTCATTATATTAGCATAATTTTTTTATTAAAATACTGAATGTTTTGAGATGTGGTCCATAAATGACCCTTATTAGTACCTACAATTCTACCAAAAAAAAAATTAAATTTTTTACATATAGGTGGCGCTGCAATTTTTTCTTCTTCAAAAATAGACGTTTTTTGAGGACCAAAAACTCTCTTAAGCAACAATGCTTAAAAAAACTAAATAGTATACCAGATAATATACATATTCCTTTATAATTTGATATATAAAAATTTACTTGCAAATGATGTTGCCGCCCGTAAAGCCAACTTAAAGTTTTGTTTACCGCATTAAAAAAAATTGAATTACACTTACAACTTTATTCTTATTTATTAACTAAGGAATTCCAGGAGATTACTTTTATTGGTAACAATAACACAGCAAAAAAAAGTTTTATTTTTTCACACCCAGGGGGCGCTGCAGCCTTTTTTCTTTAAAAACTATATAGCATTTCAGATAATATAGTTATGTATTCCTTTATTATAAAGAGTTACGTATTCCAATATTTATTTAATAGGTTTGTTCTTTATTTTATTTATTATGTTTTTCTTTATTATTATTATTGATATTACTATTTCTTTATTATTTAACATATAACAATTTATCTGCAAGATTTGCATATTTTAAATAATAAAGATATATCCTAATAATTATTATAATAATAATAATTATTACCTTTACATTAAATTTTAAACTTGTTGGGCTCTAAGGGGTATATTCGCTAACTTTTTAGTTATAAATAACCCTGGTTTATATCCTACTGGCTGGTTCAAATCTCTAGAGCGATTCTCAGAATCAGTCTAGATATTTTAACCATGGTTATAACCCTGCAGGGTTATTTATAACTTAAAAGTTACTTAGGCCGCAAAGGAACTACTTTAAAACTGATAAAGCTTCAAAAAAACTTCCGCTTCTGGGCTAATTTCTTCAATTTCTTCCGGCAAATTTTTAAATTTTCTTTTTCTATTTTTGCTTAACCTTCTATCTGACGATAATCTTGAAAATAAGCCGCGTATCTGATTAGGATGCATATACTCGTTTGAAGAAAACTAAAATTTGCCATTTACTTCATAATTTTGTAAAGCTGTTGCTATATATTCAGGCGTATATTTAATTTTAGTTTTTTCACCTTCTTCAAAAAGGTTGCCAACAAAATCTTTTTGTTTTTCATTAAAACGTGATTTTTTAATTTTGCGCCTTCCGAACCCTTTTGCATATACTCGAAAAAACGTATTTTTATCTTCTTCATTTGGGCATATATTGACGGTAGATATTGTTGAACATCTCTTTGTTTTAAAAATTCCATTCTAGCAACATCACCTATAGTTTGTCTAATTTCAGGAAATTTATGATTTTGAAATTTAAGGTGGTTTAGAAGATCATCTTTATTTTCAAAAACCCTACTGCAAAGTAATTCGTCGCACCTATATTTAATTGCTTTTAAATTATTTAGATTTTCCTTTTGTCGACTCGATGATGTCCAAGGAACTTTTATGTTTACTCCAGAAGAAAATTCAATTCCTAGAATTTTGATTTACTTAAAGAAAATTTATTAACTTTGCGTACCTTTAAAAGCATGATATTTTCCCTCTCCAATTTCAACTTTTGTAATAACGGCAAAATTTTAAATGTTATTATGGTTACCGTTTGACAGTAACTGTCAACTGTTGGGGTAACTTGATTCCCAGCCTATAGGTTTGACTTTAGTTTAATTTTAAAGTACGATAATAAAGAATGCTTTGCCTCTCGAAATATACTAAAATATATTTAAACAAATGGTCATATTACTATTACTATTACTATAGAGTCACTGAAATACTTGTTACCATTTGTAATTAAAATTTCTTTGGTTTTGTTACCTTTTGTCCGCATACAACAATAAAAGCGAAAAAAGGCGTTTATATAACAATATGCGGGTACGTGCACTAGTTATAATTTTAATCGTCCCTACAAAAGGCATTAATTATTGAAAATAAATTTTTATATGTCAAACAATAAAAGAATATCTATATTATCTGATACATTATAAATAATGTCATTAGTTTTTTAAGCAATGTTGCTTAAGTAACTTTATGGTCTTTATAAACGTCTATTTTTGAAAAAAAGGCTGCAGCGCCCCCTGTATAAAAAAAATAAAACTTTTTTTTGTTGCGTTTTAGTAACCAATAAAAGCCATCACCTGGAGTTCCTTAGTTTAAAAATAAGGATAGAGTTGAAAGTGTAATTCAATTTTTTTTAATGCGGTAGACCAAACTATAAGTTGGCTTTACGGGCGGCAACATCATTTGCAAGTAAATTTTTATATGTCGAATTATAAAGGAATATCTATATTATCTGGTACGCTATTTAGTTTTTTTGAGCATTGTTGCTTAAGAGAATTTTTTGTCTTCAAAAAACGTCTACTTTCGAAGAAAAAAAAATTGCAGCGCCACCTGTATGTAAAAAATTAAAACTTTTTTTTGACAGAATTGTAGGTACTAATAGGGGTCATACATGGGCCAAATTTCAAATCATTCAGTATTTTAATAAAAAATGTATGCCAAAATAATGGAATTTGGCCTTTTTGTGAAAGGCAAAATTAAATGGTTTCTAGGAGCTAAAGTTTAAGTCAGATGAAAGAAAAATTTTAGATTTAGTGTTAAATTGGATGTATAAACAAAGTATTAAAATTAAAAAAAAATCTGAGATGTGTTGTAAATCGATCGTTCGATTCTTTCGCGAAATCATAGTTAAGCCGCTGACTTCATTGGAACTTACCAATAGGAATGCAACTGGAATGAATTGGTGATTCATAGCGCCAAAACACATTTCAAACCAATTACTTATTTTTTTTATTGGATTCTATCGGTCATTTACAATAGGGATACTTTTAATATCTTACATGTTTGTGGTAAAGGTCTAAGCCATCCAATTCTTGTCTCATTTCAAGGTACCATGGGTTTAAGCCTGAATGGGCTCTGGGATGATTTTGCCATGTTCTTGACACATCAAATTCCATAATGTGGTCATTTCTGTAAATTCATCTACATGAATAACAGTAAAAAGTAAATAAATAAATTTGCTTACACAGTTCCCAATAGGGCAACTTTATCTGGCGAGTTTAAAGCCATTTTTAAAGATTATTGAACTTAAATATGTAAAAAGTTACTAGTTGACAAATATAATTGTAAACTTTTATAGAGAAGTTTCTATAGTAATGTTTTTTATTTCGACTTTGACATAAGTTTGTGGGCCGTATTAAATTTTGGGTGAAAATGGAAACAAAAGACAAAATTACTT